TTATTTTTATGATAATCTATGATGATATTAGAACTAGCCTGAGTGCAGCCAGAATCCTTTTTTCCTTACAATGATATTTGTTCTAATGGGTGTGCTTGTTCAAATCAAACCATCCATTTATTTTAGGCCAACACAAATTGTAAAATATTAACCAGACTGTTCAAATTCATACCGTGTGTAAACTTGTCTATACTGTTTCCTGTGGTAGCCTCCAGGTACAAACGCGCTACAACCCAAAACACGTCCATTAGGAGAAATGCGCGGCACTTTCAAAAACAATGCAAGTCTAAAAACACGAATACGCCAAAACACATGCAAATGGGAGAAATATCTTCACCAACTCCACATCACATGCTACGCATTTGAAAAACATTCACAAACGAAGGAACCTTGTAATCCCCTAATGTCAACAAGTGCTCAGGGGGGTATACTACGAAGCAGGATTTTCGCTTAGCCGGCTAAATTCAGGGAAAACTCCGGCTTTCCGGTCCTACGAAGCTGGTTCTCTTTTTAGCAGGCTAGATCTCCATGGTAACTTATGCTTAGCGGCTAACCTGGTCGGGACCAGGTTAGGTTGCAGGCTAAGAGCTCAACTCAGTGAAAGCACTGCCTGCTGACCAATCAGAGCTCAGTGTGCGGAGTTTAAAGCGATCAAGTCATATTACATCGTTTTTTAAACTGAAGCGTATTTCTCATAATGGAAATGTTTTGCAACGTTGTAGCGCGTTAGCACTTTTCGGCCTGTGTCACAGTTCCCTGTGTTAATCTAGCAACCTCTCCATTTAGCGTGTCTGTCATTTGTGAGACACTTGTTTTTCATGCGCTGGTCCATTTTGGGCTATTATGCTTCCATAACATGTCTCCTTTCAGACTAGTGGGAGAGAAGCACCTACAATATAAATGTCTGTGTTTATTTTCCTAACTTTGCATTTTTTTCTCCAAAATCAACTAAAAGTTAACATTAAATAATGTCTTGTATGCATATTTTTTTTGTGACCCACTTGTTATCAAATATTGATTGCCCATAGATTGTTTACAGATGATATTGACAGTTCTGAAATGAGTATGTCATAAAAGGAAGATATCCATTGATTTGGGTTTCCAACGTGTTAAGAGGATTATTTTTGTTTGCAGTTAAGCCAGCAAAAAGCCCCCTTTTCTGATTGTTTTATGCATTTAGAGAAAAAACCTTGTTCAGCAATCAATGTTTGGATGGTATCTGAACTCCAATGATCTCAGATAATATTTCAATCACTTGTCTCCTGTTTAAATGCAGAGCATTCCAAAAATATGTGTACATTTGTACCAATAGTCATTGGTTGCACAGAAGGCATATTGGGCTTGGGAACATCCTCAGCTGACAGCATTTCTTGGTTGACAGATAATGTGTATCATTTTGTACTGTATCAATTGCTGATTGTAATTACGTGGTGTATTCTCTTCCAATCAATAACCTGAGTATAGCTTTTTGAAATATGTGGTCCATACTGCAGAGATGCTAATATATCAAAGTCATTTCTTTTGCTTCTTTTTCTTTACATTCCAAAAGTCCACTCCCACCATTTGAACTCAGTAAGACCTTAACCATTGGGTGTGTTGGCAGAGGATGATTCCAATACTCAAAAGAAAGAAAAGCAGGCATGTTGTTTGTATATTTCAAATATTAGAAGGACATCAAGCCGTTGCTGTTGGTTGTATCAGAAAGATAATGTATATGCATATACATGTTTAAACAAACAATTGCAGAAAACTAGAATGACCTTAAAGTAAGTAATCAACTGTATGGGGAAGTTTCATCTTTGTGTTAAATGTTCACCATAATCACCAGTAGTGTCTTTAAAGGCAGTTGTCGTAAAATAAGCTTTTTCTTCTTATACACATATCTCCATTTCAGTCGCACTAGCATATAAAACATCTAAGTTTAATTAATATCTATGTTCTGAAGACTTTTACAAAGGGGTGTGTGTATGTATCTACCATTCATAGCCTCATTTGTGTGTCATTTTATCAAACAGATGGTGGCAAAAGGACAATTTCCTTTGGCTTTTTTATGATTTATGGACAAAAGAGAAATGCAAAATTCCTTCTGGAATGACCTTTGACTCTTAAATGTTGACAACATGAAAGGAGAATTGTTAACCTTGGTGCAAAAATGTGCTGCACTTTCCAAAACGATGCAAATATGAAAACATTTATGGGCCAAAAAACATGCAAATGAAGAACATCTTCACCTACTTGGCAATGCTTGTGCATTATTTAGAAAACATTCAACAACTTCACGCAACATTTGCTTCGTTTTCTGAAAGCGCTGCATAAACGAACCGCTGCAAACACATAACGCTGCAAGAAGCTCAAAACACAACTGTAACGGGGACACTATAAAGTGATGCACACAGCTGGGACTGAGTGCTTGTTGACGTTCAGGGATTATAAAGTTGGCCAACTGTCACTGTTTCATAATTGTAAATGTTGTCAGTATATTTCAAATGAGTGTTACCTATGTTAGTTATCTAGCCTATCGCAGGTATGCAATGCTGTATCATGTGATCACATGTTTTAAATAACCCAATAAAACGCACATTTAGGTAGGTTTCCATGAAAGTGACAGTTGGCCAACGTGATATCAGGTCCCGGCTGTGTGCATCCCCTTTTAGTGTCCCTGTTTCCGTTGTTTTTCGAGCTTCTTTCGTGTGTTTTTGCACATTTGTGTTTTTCTATTTGAACTGTTTTTTAAACTGCAGCACTTTCCTCCTAATGAAATTGTTTTGAGGCATTGTAACACATTTGCCCCTGTTGGCCAGCGTAGATTTATGTTCTTGAAATGTATGCAAACGAGCACATATTGCCTTGATGTAAGGGAATGGGGGTTTTATGATGATATGAATAGGCCTAGATTGTCACCTTGTTTACCTGGGGTGTCTCCCCTTTATCTAGCACACATACAAGCCGTTTTTATATGGCAGCACAAAATAGAGTACTAGAATTTCTCTCATTAACGCAGCAGTCAATCATGTGAGAAGTCATCGCTGTCAGTTTGCTGTCGGCTCTCCATACCAGGTGGTGCAGAGCATCTGCAGTGTTTCACGAGAGGTTAAATAAAACGCAAAAATAATTAGGAGCACTCAGAACATGTCAGACGTCAGACATGCTACCATTAGGGCGGAAACATAACTAAAACCGCTTAAGTGTTAAAAGCTGCAGAATATAGGCTAACCTACTCTAATCCTTCAGTTTTAAAAGTGGAAAGTAGTTAAAGACAAAGGGATTGATATTCTACTTTTGCCCTTGAGTGAGAGGATGAGGGAGGGAGAGAGACATAGATGGGGGGTTGTCAATGTGTGTATGTGTGCAAGAGAGGGAGAGGGGGACGAGTGACAGAGAGATAATCTCTTTTGTATGTTTGATCCCTAAATGTGGTGGTTGCGTCCCCTTATCCCAGCTACTTAGTTTCTGCAGTGCGTAAGTGATGCCATGCACTCAGGGCCGTGAAAAGCAGGTCAGTATGACCACTGAGAGAAAACCACATGTGCATCACATGGATAGCCTTGGGATTATTCCTCACAAAATGTCTTAATTCCTCTGTTCACTAATGATCCAGGGAAAATGCCCTCTAATCTCCATTCCATTAATTAAAAAGAGCATGAGCCCGTGGAAAACCTCACCATCTGCTGCGGCTTCATTCCAGCAGACAGATTGTGTTTTCAGCTTTTAACCAGGGGAAACTGGGTTTCTTTTTTTCAGAGCCAACGGTTGGAGCACGCATTGAGGTGGATGGTAAACAGATACTCCATTTGAGTATTTATGTGCTGAAATATGATGAACAATCTGTTTTAAACATGAGCAATCCTTGCCAGGGCAGTGATGATGTCTGGGAGTTTGAGCTGCCTCCTGAGGACAATTTCACAATTTGAACGCTTCATACCCGTGCTATACATAGAGTCAGTAACAGCCCTCTTAATACTTATAGTCTTTTACATTTAAAGTTACTGCTTCTATAATAAAATATGCACTTCTCTTTTTTTATAGGAAATGCTGCAATGCAGTCCCTGTGTTTTTCTAAAGGATTGCTATCATTCTCTTTTTAATTTAGCAGGACCTTTAAAGCTGCTTTAAGCTGCTGCATCCTCTCTGTTACACTGATTTGATTAAGGTTCCACTGATATTACCATTTCCTCTAATAACATAAACAAATATTAAAGGATGTTCACACCTTCCACAGAAACAGATGCTAAAAAGTTGATTGAAAGGTTTCTAAAAAAGTCCTTTAATTACAAATCTCTAAAAGGACAGTTTATGACATGTTCCCTATCCTGTGCTGTAACAATAATACCTCAATTAGTGAAACATTTCAAATAAACTGATTCATTTAATTAAGTTGAATTAAAAGTGTCATTTTTTTAAATCAATTTAAAGTGAATAAGATTGTTTATATCAGAATATGAGTTGATTGAAAGGTTTCCAAAAAAATCCTTTTATCCCATATCCCATAGGACAATGTATGAATTGTTCTTTATCCTGTGCTAATGATACCTCAATTAGTGAAACATTTCAAATAAACTGATTAATTTAAATAACTTTAATTATAAGTCATGAATATGATGTGTTTATGTCCGATTATGCTGAACCCCAGTTGAGAAATGATGAAACACTCCTGTAAGAAATAGAATCAAGTGCGTTTGACCCGCGGTCAGAGCCGAGACTGGGACATGGATTCGACCGGGCTATAGGCAGGAAAGATTATCCCAGCAGATGTCGGTTCCCTTCTATTGGAACAGTAGGGCCAATAATAAACACGCACACACACAGAGACACACGAAACGCGCACTAATCTGGGAGAGATAGGCTAGCCCTTGCACGCCCCCCTTTCTCTCCTCTCTTTTCTCTCAGGCAGACAGTCGCTGTTCCACCAATGTCAAGTTTTTACCAGACTCTATTTTGCACAATTCTGCCTGAATCATCCTGTAAGCAGTTCTTAGTGTAAGGTGCATTGTTTCATCCAGATGGACACACAAGGGGCAAAGAAAATACTGTTTTGGAGATGGCATACAGTTTGCCTATTTGCGTTGTGCACTTGTTTCTTGGATGCAGTCCGGGGACAGATTCGCTACTCCATCCCTGAGGAACTGGAGCATGGAGCTTTTGTTGGCAACATCGCAGAGGACCTGGGCTTGGATTTGGACAGGCTCTCTGCGCGCAGATTCCGGATAGTCTCCGGTTCCAAGAAGCAATATGTGGAGGTGAATTTGGAAAATGGAGTTTTATTCGTCAATGAGAGAATTGACCGCGAGGAACTCTGCGAGCAGAGTTTGTCCTGTTCTTTCCACTTGCAGGTGGTCATTGAAACCCCCCTGGAGCTGTACAGGGTGGAGATGGAGATTGTGGATGTGAACGACAACTCCCCTAGTTTCCCATGGACCGAGTTTAATCTGGACATCTCAGAGTCTGCTACGCCAGGATCCCGTTTCCCACTTGAGAGCGCACAGGACTTAGACGTGGGATCCAACTCCCTGCGCACATATTTGCTGAGTGTCAACGAGCATTTCCTTTTGGATATACAGACGCGCAGTGATGGCAGCAAATTTGCGGAGCTCGTCCTGCAGAGCCCGCTGGACAGAGAGCAGCAAAGTGCGCATCAGATGGTCCTGACGGCGGTGGATGGAGGCACGCCGGAGAGATCTGGCACTGCGCAAATTGATATCACCGTGTTGGATGCAAACGATAACGCGCCTGTGTTTGACCAGTCCTTTTACAGAGTGAGGCTGGCGGAAAACGCACCTAAAGGCACCGTAGTCATAAAACTCAACGCGTCAGATTTAGATGAGGGTCCCAACGCTGACATCACCTACTCGTTCAGTGGCCATGCGCCCATCAAGGTGCGCCAGCTCTTCAGCGTGGACTCGCGCACGGGGGAAATCAAAGTGAAAGGAGTGATAGACTATGAAAAGGCCAGGATGCATGAAATCTATGTTCAGGCTAAAGATAAAGGCCCCTCCGCTGTGGCAGTGCACTGTAAAGTGCTGGTGAACGTTTTGGATAAAAATGACAACCTCCCGGAAGTGATCTTAACATCAGTGTCCACACCTGTGCAGGAGGACGCCCCCCCGGGGACTGTGATAGCTGTCATCAGCGTGATGGATAAAGACTCAGGTGAAAACGGGAATGTGGACTGTGAGATCCCACATCACGTGCCATTCCAGCTCCACTCCTCCTTTAAGAACTACTACACATTAGTAACTTCTGATTTTCTGGACAGAGAGGCGATGGCTGAGTATAACATCACACTAACAGCGCGAGACATGGGCTCCCCTCCTTTATTCACCAGGAAAACTATCCTTGTCCAAGTGTCTGATGTGAATGATAACGCGCCTCTCTTCAAACAGCCGTCATACACTGTGTATCTGACTGAGAATAACGCGCCGGGTGCATCCATATGCTCGGTGACTGCACTGGATCCAGATTCTGGCCAAAACGCGTACCTCTCCTACTCTATCCTGGAGGGGGACATACGGGGAATGCCCGTGTCCACCTACGTGTCCATCAACTCGGACAACGGGAACATTTACGCACTGCGATCCTTTGACCACGAACAACTTAAAAACTTTCAGATCACAATTCAAGCTCAGGACGCAGGGTTCCCCCCTCTGAGCAACAACGTGACAGTGAACATCTTTATACTGGACCAAAACGACAATGCACCTGTGATTGTGTCACCGATTGTGCAAAACAGTTCCGCGCCAACAGCAGCAGTGCCCAAGTCAGCTGACGCAGGTTACCTTGTCTCCAAAATCAGCGCGGTGGACGCAGACGAGGGTCAAAACTCGCGTCTCTTTTACCAGATGCTCCAAGCAACAGACCCGAGCTTGTTCAGCGTGGCTCTGTACACAGGCGAGATCAGGACAATTCGCCAGTTGGTGGAGAAAGACCCCTCGAGCCACAGATTGGTCATTCTCGTGAAGGACAATGGTCAGCCGCCCCTCTCGGCCACTGTTTCCATCATCCTGTCAGTGGTTGACAGCCTGCCAGATTCACAGCCCGATTTGGGTGACCTGTCACTAAGCCCGCATCACAGCCCTAACTTCAGCCTGTACTTAATCGTGTCTCTGGGCGCAATCTCCTTCACATTTCTGGTGGCTATCATCGTCCTGGTTTCAGTGCGCAGGCTGAAGGGCAGAGCGTCCAGCAGGGAGTCAAGCTTCCCCTCCATCAGCTGCTGCTGCTGCTGCACCAGCTCAGAATCCTCCACCACGGAAGATGTGTTCAAAAAGTCCAATCTGAATGTTCGGATGCCCGCAGGAGCGCCCGGGTGCGTAGAGGCAAACGGCAACGGAGCTCTCCCTCAGGTCTACTGCTATAAAATGTGTCTGACTCCGGAGTCGTCCAAAAGTGACTTCATGTTCCTGAAGCCCTATAGCCCGGTGATGTCAGTTCAGCAGAATAACGCCAAGAGCACGGATTACCTCACCTCTGGCTGGAGCGCAGTGGACCGTAATGAGCTGGCCAACAACAGAGCAGCGTCCCCAAACGAGGTAATAAACTGACATATACCGACGCGTAAAAATCCAAATAACAGAGGAGTTGTTTCTCTTATCCTTCACTTTAATAAGTATACTTTTCCCAAAACGTTATCCACTTACTCATCCTGTTGTCTCACATGAATTAGAAATGACAGAAAGGTTGAGTCAGGGGCAAATGTCAACATGCATTTGCCCCTGACGCTCGAAGCCAATCTTTTTTTAATTCAAATATATTTCAAAAATGGTTTTGTAAAAGGGGTGTTAAACTGTTAAACGCTATTTAATCTGTGAATGTAAAATGTATTAATTCAATTATATTAAAAACGTCTTCAACCACAGTTTGTTAACATTCTGCATGTTGGACAGAGTAGTTTCAACCAACACATGTTGAGACCATACACTATGCAATCTGGGAAGGTTACAGTGTCAATGTTTGTGTTGCAAACTAAAAAGGTGTTGCATGGGTAATGTAATTGTACATTTGTATCCCAGATATGACTGCTGCTGTGTTTGTGCTCACCTCAGTGTAACCAACCACTCATATTTATCCTCACATTAAGCAGATTAGTAACCAAATCATTTAGCTATTTTTAGGAGATGTGGCACCATCTCCCCTCATTAAAATGTTGCACCGGAGAGCTTTTAATGTAATGTGCAGATGTAGTGTGATAGTCTAATTTGCTTAATGGTCTTATAAAAGAGGAAATTCAAGTTTTCAAGTTTTTATTTCACAAAAACATGAATTGAGAATTTCCTTCTATGGACTAAACGCATTTGCACCCAAAAACTTTATTTATAATGGAATGGAAAATGCCACAACATGTGTTGTGATTGGTCTAAAGTCTTAAAACCTGGTTTGGACATATACTTTGTATCCACAATAACACATTGATATATTTAGATCACTTCAAAAAACCCACTTTCTTTTCAATAGTCAAAGTCAGGAGTTTTAAAACATTGGAAAAACGCCAGTACTCTTTTTTTATCTGAAGACGCCAATGTTCTTTTCCATAAAATATAATGATTTATAAAGAAAAACTGCATACCAGATTGATTATTAAAAAGCCAGATTTTGGCTTGTGAACCCAGACAATAATTTCAGTCATGGGAATACTATTCCATTTGCGGGCACACATATGATAACTGTTATTACAATTAAATATCTCTGATCATTTTATCTTATCTATCTGACACTTTTACCTTGCCAATATCTACATGACTGCATCTGGACAATAACGCAGTGCTCTTGTTCTTCTTGAGCTGATCACTAATTGTTGTTTGTGTTCCAACTCTCCAGCTTAAGTATGCAAGTATTACCAACGACTGGACCTTGACCAAGAACCAACGCAACTTGGCATACAAGAGGTGAATGCATTAGTCGAGCCAGTACACACACATGCCCACACACACACACACATGCACACACACACACACACACACACACACACACACACACACACACACACACACACACACACACACACACACACACACACACACACACACACACACACACACACACACACACACATGCCTATACTTATACTTTCTTATTTTCTCCCAAGGTATAGTTCAGCAAATATGGAGGGCACTCTTACCCGTCAACAAAAATACGATGCCCATGGGTTTTCCTGTTCTGTGGCCCCACAGTATTGGACCTGGGGAAGCCATATGAATGGTAGGTGCAGTTTTGGCTCATTGTCATTCACAGGAAGGGGGGGGGGGGGGGGGTGCTTCTCCCTGCGTCTGTTCCTGAGGATTTAGTCTGAAATATAAAATGGTAAACTGAATAGATAATACCAGGGGGGATTTAAATGCATCAACACCAGGATTACTTTTAAGAAGATTCCTTCTTTTTTGCCAAAAAGACTGAAATTAAGAAGATGCCTTTTTTAAAACCACCTTATTTAAATTGAGTATGTAAATAGGAGCTCTTTGCAGAAATAATCTCCCGATACAAATTGTAATTTATGCGCATGTTTTACAGACTGCAAGATATCTCTCCAGGAGGGGACACTCCCTCACTACTCATGGACTCCGAAGTACACTCCGAGTTCTGAAGCGGCAGACTACCAGCACAACGTGTACATACCCGGCTCCACGTCCGACTACAGCACTCTGAAGCTGGCTCCCAGAGGAGAGCTGGATGTCTACAACACCTTCTCTACTTTTGGGAAGAAAAAGAGATTCATCTCAAACTATGAACAATCTTTTGACATTGATGATAGTCTCATCGTGAGTAATGACATCTTCAAATGAACTCTACTGTATTGTACAGTCTGCACCAAATGTGTATATACATTTATGCCATTTATTAGTTCCATTTCTAATTATAAATCTCTTCTCCAGTTGAACAGTTTCTCTGGAGGCCTGACAGACATGCGTCTCCTTTTTCAAGTGGAATTGAATACCACATGTATATTTTTGTAAATACTATAATAAAGTATAAATGAAGTATATTTCTAGTCATGTTGGGAACAAGGGATGACTTTATAAAGTCTAATCAAAAAAGCTTACAGTAAATTGAAAAAGGGTATGCATCAATCACTTTTATGTAGACAACAACATACCTTTGTGTCTTGAAGGTACACACGCCGTGTTTTAAAAGTGTATAGCCTTTTAAAGGAAACGTTTCTACTTAAAGCTATCACATTTAAGATGTGAGATTTAAATTCATAACTTTGCCAGTTTTCTATTTCTTTTCATATATTTTGGTTGTATGACGAAGCAGTGCCACAGTTACAGCTGTATAGGTTCAACGTCTTGCATCCAATCATGCTGCATTACGTTAGTGACGGGTCATTTGTTCAGGTCTATTGAGTGTGAATGCAGCCCAGGCACAAGCGCTGCAAACAGATGGCAAAGGCAATGCGCAGTTATAAATAATTATAAGCACTCATTAATATTAAAAGGCATTGAACCAATAACCATTACCCATTATAAAGCATTGTAAAATGACTTAAAAGGTGAAGTAGCAGTATCGATGCTTTCTTTAGCTGGTCACTCACTGCCATTTTAGATGTAATTTATATATATTTATATATGTGTATATATATATATATATATATATATATATATATATATATATATATGTGTGTATATATATTTTAGTAAAGCAAACAATTATCACTTATAGTGACTTCTAACCAGTTTATAATGTATTATATGCCTTTACATTGGGAAATACAAAATGTATAACACTGCTATCTATCCACTTTTATGTAACTTTTCATCACATTATAATGCATTATAACGGTGTCAAAAATGAATTACAACTATCAGAATTATGATAGAAAACATAATAATTACATAAAAATGACACTTGACCATAAGTGTCTTAAGTGACCATAAAACCTCAACTTAAAATGTGTTTGAAAGGGTTATTCATATTTATGAGTGCTTATAACCAGCAGTTATACATGTCTGAGCAGATTATAACATGTATAAGTATATTGCATTAGACATGAGCGCCATAGAAAGGGTTAAAAGCCATACAGTAGAGAAGAGATCCAATGGCAAATGCATCTGATTTCAGAATAATGACAATGCTTGGATAAGTTGAAACATGTTATGTGTCCATTAACCATGTTTCAGTGAAGGATTTCTTTACAAGGAATTGCACCGCAGCTGTGATTTTACTCTGTTGGCCTGTACTGAAGACCCCTACGTTGACACCTCATCAGCACTAAGAATGGCAATAACAAGGGTGTTGTGCTACTGCAAGTAACACACACCAAATGTCTGATGACACACAATTGCTTTTCAGTCACTGTTATATGTATCCAGATTTGTATTTATCATTTTGTGTGATGTGTGTATCTGCTAAGCCTTACACAGTTATGCTTAGTAGGACAAATCACTCTGTATTTAGTCTATGTATATATTCATATCAATAAATCTGACTTCAACTCTGTACTTTTTTCATGTTGCATTCCTTCCCTTGGCTTGGGGAACTTGAATGTCTTAATTATTTTCTTGCCAAGGACCCCTAACTTGAAAAAAGACAGGTGAGGGACCTTGTACTACATTTGTGCAAAAATGAGTTGCATAATTAACTGCGCCAACAATTACGTGTGGTTGGTCTAAAGTGGCTACAGCATAAACAAACTTTTTCTAAAAAACAACATTAAAACGTAATGAAACAATAACTTTCCTGCAATAACTCTGAATACCTCCGATTAGGCCCTTTTTCCCAAAATAAGACGATGTATCTGTGTCTCCTTGATTAATTATTTATTTGTATTTGATACATCCAACATGTATGTTACACATGATATGTTTGTATTACAGGTTTATAGGGTTCCTTTGGCTTTGCCTGAATGTTTGTGTGGATCAGTCTCAGCTGCTTAATCAAGTGAAGTGCCAACAGGTGTGTCTCATTAAGTCTTTAGCAGGGAGGGGCTGGGCTCTGTCAACATGAAGAGAACAATGTGACAATTCTGCAGTGAATGACTTATAATATTATTATATTGTAGTGCCGAGAGATAGGGAGTCGGAGGCGGTGCATCGAAGGTGCAAAAGGTAACTTTATTGAGGAGTAGAAAAGCACATGTTGGTGGCTTGCAGTCCGAGTAGAGAAGAGAAAGAGAAAGGATGGAGGACACAGTATATACCCCGGAGGTACAGTAAGCATAAGTGTCCGTGCGGAACAATACCCCCAACCTGTAGTTCCATGAGTGGATTATGTATTAATAAGTAATCACTACAATATATTATAAATGTAATGTGCTCATTGGTAGGTTGGCAGACATAGTTGGCAGCTTAGAGATCTTGTATTCATTGTATGTTATACTGTGTGATTTGGGTTTTGCTTTTTATTAAGCCATCCCTATTCTTACCTGGGCAGTTGGTATGTTCCAGTTAAAGGTCTCATGTCATGGCCATTTCTACTGATCATAATTCCATTGTTGAGGTCTACTAGAATAGATTGACATTGTTCAATGTTCCAAACTCACATTGGTTTCTCATACAGCATCTCTGTATAGTATGTGTATTTACTCTCTGTCCTACACGCCTTGTTGGAGCTCGGCCCCCCCCCCCCCCCCTCCCTATGAGCCCACTGTGCTCTGATGAGTCCACCACCGTTACAGCGGAACATCCGTGATTATGTGTTACAATGGCGTTAGCAACCAGAAAATGACACCAGTAATGACAATAGGATGAGAATGCTGCGTGGGGTCTGGGTGTCATGTTGGCGGGACGTTGCACGGCTCGCTGCAGCGAGGAGCGGACAGTGTGAGCTGGGTTAATTTCCTGCTTGCTGCGTGGGGTCTGCGAGACAGCGAGACATCGCGAATGGACACGGGAAGGGGGGGGTGCTGAGGGGGCTGCAGCACCACCATCTGCGAGGCTCCACTAGCACCCGCACCCCCAAATGCGGCGCACCTACAGTGTACAGTTTTGCCGCTGAGAGAGTGTGTGTGTGTGAGGAGCTCCACTGATTGGTCCATTTGGACCAATGGGTCCATTTGGGTATGGTCACGTCACTGTACCCAGGAAGAAAAAGAGAAATGTCCAACGAGGCGTTCTGGGGCAGCACAGACAGGTATTTTCTGTGTTAGAGTTTTACTCGCTACAGGGTGTACTTTAAGGGTTTGTGACTGCAGACCGTTTACATGCAGATCAACTTTCATAACACACAAGGGGACGGGTAATAACCGGAAAAACATTGCAGCAAGACAGGGAGAAAGTAAACCCACTCCTACAGATTCCCTGAGAAAAAGGGGAGTGGCTAATCAAGCACCCCTGAGAGAAACTGGAGGAAACAATCAAGAGAATGATTGGCACCTGTGTGCTGTTAAAAGGAGGACAGCATGTCATTCGAAAGAAGGAGAAAGAAGCAAGAGGAAGTCGGAATCGAACAAGGAGAAAAGTGGATTCTTGAGGACTTCATCAGCTGAATCAGGCTATTTTTTGGGAGTGTTTGCCACTGAACCCAGGAGCTGTTGGGGAAACATTCAACTTTCCCCTTCCAAGTTAACCCTGCAATCCAGTGAGCTATTCTGGCCTGTCACCCTCAGATAAGTGGTTATCACTACACCAATATCATTTCTCCTCCTCTAGCACTCTACACACACACACACACACACACACACACACACACACCACACACTCTGGACTTTTAAAGCTGAACTTTAAAACTTTACTTTCACACATCCTTATCCCCTGAAATACACTCCTAAACTGAGTGACAAAGGACAAAAAAGACTTCTCCCCTCCCCCACACTCACTCACAGTCAATCCCCAGGATGTATTGATGTTTTGTGAGTTAACTTGGCTTATTTGTTTGTGTATGTATTGGAGTTAGGTTTATCTGGTAAATGGTCTGTGACATGAGTATGTTTGTTTGATGTACTGATTTATTATTTGGAGTTAACAAAAATACAGACTTTTTATGTTGAAAGTGAATTGATTTCTTATTTTTCCTGGAAGCCATTCCAAGGACGTAAAATACCTTTTCTTCTATTCCCGGTTGTTAGTTTTGCCCTTATTTTCTTAATCTTTTTGGAAATAAATGACACTTTTTTGCACAAGCCCTGCTTATCAAACTGATTTTTCAATATCCTTTTTTCAAGTTTTCCAGTGCTGTACCACCTTATTCCCCTTTTATATAGCACAGTCATGCTTTTATTCCTATCAAATGACATGCTAAACCGTTGCATTCATGTGGTTCTGAAATAACTGCTAAATGAACCTAGTAGTAATTTCAATATCAATCAATCAATCAAAAACAAAGCAATTAAAGTTGCAGACATGAAGGATTTTCCTCAGTCCCCCTCAAAAGCTGAATTGAGGATTTTTCTGTGTAAATTACATTAAACACCAACTATAGAAGTGTGGAATGAAATGTGTCAAGAGCACGATTAGCTAGTGGTCTTCAAAGGGGCCTTAAGAATAAAAGCTCATTTTGCCTGCACCGGCCTTGCATGTTGCCTCTGAACAATGCCTTTAACAATTCAGTCATTTTGTGCCTATATGCTGACATTAAGATTTGGGCCCAGAGAGGACAGTTGTGTGAACCATGGAGTCATATGTCTTGTAAAACAAACTGTCAACCCCACTGGAAAATTGAAACCATTTTTTCCTAAGTTTCCTGCCGAGATGCAGTCAGGTGTGGTGATCCCAGCCAGTCCCACTAAATCTAGAAGGTGCCGGCAAGAAATCAGGCTTAGTCCGGAAGATTGGAAGAAGTAGGAGCAGCTTCATTTAACCTTTTCTCTTGACATTTTGGACAGTAAACCTGGGGTTTCAACTACTGCTTTGGAGATAATACCTAAAGATCCATGGGCTCTCACTGAGCTAATGCAGACCAGGGGGTTAATCCTGGGCCGGGCCTCACTGCCTGAGCAGAGCTGCTCCAACTGCTTCTAAAAGCTGGGGGCAAAGGGCCAGTTTCACATTTATTTTGAACTCTCTCCAGCAAGGCTACAAGAGATATTATTCAATAAAATACGTAGTATAAAAGAGGGAAAACACATCCCCTCGCTATGTATATAATATTTATATAATTTCATTTTTTTGCTATGCTACAGACTACCACACAACATATCTGCAATTGGTATAAGGTTAAAAATAAATGATTCTAGTATTGCTTCAATTTAATTAATTTACGACTTTTTTTTCCCCACAAAATAGTGATTCTATTCACGACTTCTGAGAGAACGCAAGGCAAGGCAAGTTTATTTATATAGCACTTTTCAACACAAGGCAATTCAAAGTGCTTTACAAAAAATGAAAGACATTAAGAAAATGGTATTTAACATTAAAAAGAAAAGCTAATAAAATAAACATGTATTGATTTGGATATGTTTTTAATGGGCAGAAATGTTTGACAATACGCAGTGATCTTGAATACAATATGTATAATAGGATGTATTGAATTCCAATACCATTATTTAAAACTGAATAGATGTGTCATGAATTTGAATCAGTGCTGCATGCCTGTTTTAAAGTGTAACCTTCAAAAGATAACAAAAGTTGCGGGAAGAATAAATAATGCCTACATATTTGCTGACTCAGCCTACATTACATTAATCAAGAAAAGTAGATTTACATAAGAATGCATACTTAAAAACAATAGTTATGTATAATGCATTACATTTCATTATATAATTGTAATTGTCCGCTGCTCCCTGAATTTAGTTTCTCTTTCCACAAACTAAGTCTATTCCACTATGAATAAGAAAATCACCCGAATGCAGGAAATAAAATGTTTGAGCTTTAAATTCACAATGGAGATAAGACTTCAAAAGGATAAAACCTTTGAGATAAAAAAAATGAATATTCATCCCCGCCATTTAGAGGCGACTAAGAAATTAAAACACAAATCCAGATAGGCCCACCACTATATCCTGCCAATAATTACAGACACCCAAGCCAAGAAGTGTCTTTGACTGTATCACTCAAACAGCCAGGCTTAGCAGGCATAATATGTCCCATATGCAATAAGCAGAAACAAAGCATATGTCTAGCTTTTTTGGGGGGCTTGTTCAATATTTTCAAATCCCAATCTGTGTTATATCTCCCAACAATCCAGAGCTTCCAAAACTCTAGCAGATAAGAGCAGTTCCCTCTTTTCTCCACTAGAGGGGGCCTTAACCTCACAGATGCCTTTTTTATATTTGAAGGAATTTCATTGCCACTTTGGTCTTAAATAATATGTCTCTTTTATTGCCCTTGGATTGATAAGTTTGAATACATTTGAATAGATTTGCAAAAAAGGGTCGGAATATGGCTTGTTTATCATTTAACACGCAGAAACTACTACATGCATTTATGGCATGCACA